GATGGATGGGGATGAAGATGGGGTGAGCTGGAGGTGAACACAGAAACGGGGATGGCCACAGCCATGACACCGAGCTCCACCCCCCGCCCCCAGATGTGGGTCCAGGACCGCCTGCCCTTGGCCACGCTGAAGGACCACGGCACCAACCTGCAGACCGTCCAACAGTTCATCAAGAAGAACCAGGTCAGCTCCCACACCTCCACTGGGGCAGGGGGGACGCCCCACCCTGACCCCTGCACCCACCCCCACCTCCCACCCCACCCCACAGAACCTGCGCCGGGAGATCCAGGTGCACCGGCCCCGCGTGGACGAGGTGCTGGAACGCGCCGCCGCCGTGGCCACCATCAAGAGCCCCGAGGCCGAGGGCGTGCGGTGCCTCCTGGAGCGCCTGGGGACCATGTGGGCCGAGCTGCAGGAGCAGACGGAGCGCCGGCAGCAGACCCTGGATGCCACCTACCAGCTGGAGCAGTACTACTTCGACGTGGCCGAGGTGGAGTCGTGGCTGGGAGAGCAGGAGCTGCTCCTGATGAACGAGGAGAAGGGGAAGGTGGGGGTTGAGAGGGGTGGGGTTGGGGTGGTCATTGGGTTGGTTGGGTGATGTTGGGTTGGGTTTGGTCATTGGGTTGGTTGGGTGATGTTGGGTTGGGTTTGGTCATTGGGTTGGGTTGGTTGGGTGATGTTGGGTTGGGTTTGGTCATTGGGTTGGTTTAATTGGATGATATTGTGTTGATTGGGTGATGTTGGGTTGGGTTTGGTCATTGGGTTGGTTGGGTGATGTTGGGTTGAGCTTGGTCATTGGATTGGTTTAATTGGGGGAATTGGGTTGATTGGGTGATGTTGGGTTGATTGGGTGATGTCGGGTTGGTTGAGTTGGGTTGGTTTGATTGGGGGAATTGGGTTGGTTGGGTGATGTTGGGTTGGGTTTGGTCATTGGGTTGGTTTAATTGGGTGATGTTGTGTTGATTGGGTGATTTTGAGTTGGTTGGGTTTGTTGGGTTGGTTGGGTTGAGTTTGGTCATTGGGTTGGTTTAATTGGGTGATGTTGTGTTCATTGGGTGATGTTGTGTTGATTGGGTGAATTGGGTTGGTTGGGTGATGTTGGATTGCTTTGATTGGGGGAATTGGGTTGATTGGGTGATGTTGGGTTGAGCTTGGTCATTGGATTAGTTTAATTGGGGGAATTGGGTTGATTGGGTGATGTTGGGTTGGTTGGGTTGGGTTGGTTTGATTGGGGGAATTGGGTTGGTTGGGTGATGTTGGATTGAGTTTGGTCATTGGGTTGGGTTGGTTGGGTGATGTTGTGTTGATTGGGTGATGTTGGGATGGTTGGGTGATGTTGGGTTGGTTGGGTTGGGTTGGTTTGATTGGGGGAATTGGGTTGGTTGGGTGATGTTGTGTTGATTGGGTGATGTTGGGATGGTTGGGTGATGTTGGGTTGGTTGGGTTGGTTGGGTGACGTTGGGTTGGTTGGGTTGAGTTTGGTCATTGGGTTGGTTTAATTGGATGAACTGGGTCAATTGGGTGATGTTGGATTGGTTGGGTGATGTTGGGTTGGTTGGGTTGGGTTTGGTCATTGGGTTGGTTTAATTGGGTGATGTTGTGTTGATTGGGTGATATTGGGTTGGTTGGGTGATGTTGGGTTGAGTTTGGTCATTGGATTGGTTTGATTGTGTGAATTGGGTTGGTTGGGTGACGTTGAGTTGGTTGGCTGATGTTGGGTTGTCTGGGTGACGTTGGTTGGTTGGTTGGGTTGAGTTTGGTCATTGGATTGGTTTAATTGGGTGATGTTGTGTTGATTGGGTGATGTTGGGTTGGTTGGGTGATGTTGGGTTGGTTGGGTGATGTTGAGTTGGTTGGGTTGCATTGGTCAGTTGATTAGGTTGGGTTTGTTGGGTTTTTTGGGTTGATCAGTTGATTAGGTTGGGTTTGAGTTGGGTTGGGTTTGTTGGGTTGGATGGTTGAGTTGGTTGAGTTTTTTGGGTTGGTTGAGTTTGTTGAGTTGGTTGGATTGATCAGTCGATCAGGTTGGGTTTGTTGGGTTGGGTTTGTTGGATTGGGTGGTTGAGTTAGTTGAGTTTTTTGGGTTTGTTGGGTTTTTTGGATTGATCAGTTGATCAGGTTGGGTTTAATTGAGTTGGGTTTGTTGGGTTGGGTTGGTTGAGTTTTTTGGGATTTTTGGGTTGATCAGTTGATTAGGTTGGGTTGGTTGGGTTGGTTGGGTTTTTTGGATTGACCAGTTGATTAGGTTGGGTTTGTTGGGTTGGGTTTGTTGGGATTTTTGGGTTGATCAGTTGATCATGTTGGGTTTGTTGAGTTGGTTGGGTTGGTTGGGTGGTTGAGTTTTTTGGTTTTTTGGGGGTTTTTTGGATTGATCAGTTGATCAGTTTGGGTTTAATTGAGTTGGGTTGGGTTTGTTAGGTTGGGTTGGTTGAGTTTTTTGGGTTTTTTGGATTGATCAGTTGATCAGGTTGGTTTTAATTGAGTTGGGTTGGGTTGGTTGAGTTTTTTGGGTTTGTTGTGTTATCAGTTGATTAGTTTGGGTTTAATTGAGTTGGGTTGGTTGAGATGGTTGGGTTGGTTGAGTTTTTTGGGATTTTTGGATTGATCAGTTGATCAGGTTGGGTTTAATTGAGTTGGGTTGGGTTTGTTGGGTTGATCAGTTGATCATGTTGGGTTTGTTGAGTTGGGTTGGGTTTGTTGGGTTGATCAGTTGATCATGTTGGGTTTGTTGAGTTGGGTTGGGTTTGTTGGGTTGATCAGTTGATCAGGTTGGGTTTAATTGAGTTGGGTTGGGTTGGTTGAGTTTTTTGGG